TGATGGCTTTTTCCAGTGGCGCTTGGTGTCTAGCAGCTGTTAGAGCCTCTGTGAAGACTGGTGATTTCCTTCTGTCGCACCATTCTTTGAGGTTCTTTGCATCCGTTCTGTGCTTTCTCTCGTTGAGCAGGTGTCAGTTCTCTGCAGAATTCTGTGACTTGCAGTTTCAGCTCATTTACCTCCTGTCTGAGGCCCTTGAGGGTGTGGGCCGAGGAGAGGATGATGCTGGTCAGGTGTTCACTTATGTCGCAGTCTCGCTGTTCCTATCTTTGCCATTGCAGGTCGTTGGCTGCTTGGAGCTGAAGGATATCCATTACAGTGCTCTGCTAAGTGTCCAGGTGGTCCTGGTGAGCTGGCAGGGCTGGATGTCTGTGGAATGTCTGCGACATACTGGCACACTTGTGGGAACACCAGAGAGAGAAAGGGGCAAGACAAATGCAAGTGCGTCCAGAGGTGTTAAACTATCTCTATGGGGAACGGCTGTGTGGGCCATGTAAGGGATGAATAGCAGGTGAGAGGCAGCTAGTGAGGTAGGGTGCTATGTTTTTGTGTTCGTGAACACAAAGAGAGAGTTTGAGTAACTTTGTTGAGGGGGCCGTTAGCAGGGGTCAGCTGATGACCGGGCTATACATGTAGTCAAACTATTACTTAAAGCACTGATGGTTCACGAGTTTGGTCACTATGATGAAACTGACATAAAATAAGATGAATTCAAAAAAAGAGAAAAAAAAGAAAAGGAAGATTTGACCTATTTTAGTTGTTTTGCTAAGAGATATGGCTAAGCAGGTGTCACTTGTGGGTGATGCTGCAATAGACTTCATAAACCTAGGGTTAGACTGTTAGCTAAACCAGCAGGGACCCACCAAATACCTCATCAAAAGAAAAAGATACAGTGGGAATTGTTCCTAGTTCTATCTTGACCTACATTGTGTTGAACAGTAGCTGCCCTTCAATGTATTAGGTCTGGCACTGAGGAGTGAGGAGAAAGTAGAGAGGAAACAGGGATTAGCCTACTAATCACCTGTATAACTCATTAAGGAAACAACAGTTGCTAGAACTACTGTAATCCTATACAAAATGCGAAGATGGTGATGGTAAAATAACTAAAATAAGGTAAAAGTAGAACAAAACAAACAAAAGGGGTCCTAATAGCTGTAGGAAATTAAAAATGGAAAGTAAAATAAAAATTAAAAAAAATATAAAAAATAAATAAATAAATAAAATAAAAATTGATTTAATTAATTAAATCTCAAATTTAATAAAATTCAATTTAGCTGTATTGGTACATTTGTGCCAAACAAATGTAACTAAATGCAATAAAATTAAAGAGAGGTAGAATAAAGTCAAAACAAAAATAAACAATAACACAAGTTAAACTACAGTATGTGGGTAGGG